AGTATTTGGACAACTGCTCAAAAGAAGTGTTTGCATGACAGGTTTTTTTTTTTATTTTTTTTTTCAACACAAAAGCCAGAATCTCCAGACAACTTTGTTTGGCAGAAATACATTCTTATTCTCCGTGGAACATAAAGAACACTCAGGCTTGTATTTTCTCAATATTATGGGCATGTGCTCCTGCTTAAGATACTTATGGTAGAAACATTTCATCATGCAGTATCTCGTCTGCTCTGTCCCACAGAGGAAGAAATAAACATAGTTGAAATCATAGGTTAGGCAACATGGATAGAAGGTGTAAGAAAAGTTAGTGTGCTAAAATAATTCTGGCTTTCTAGAATTGAAAAAATAATGGTTTTGTTGTTAAAAATACTGAATGATTTAAAAGGACATAGAACACCTTCATTTATGAAGTAATTTTTAGGTATAGGGTTCACTGAATCTCACATATCAGTGAAATCTCAGTGAAGTATGCTAATGATGTTAACACTGGGAAGGTTTTTATATAAACCCACACATAACATGACTTGTTAAAATGCAGTCTCAGTGTTTAATTATGCCAACAAAAAATATATTAGCCTGTAGTCCCCTGTGGGGACTTGGTGGAAACAATACTGTCCAGTGAAGTTTTAATTATATCAAAGTCCTTTGTCTAGAAAATTTAGACTGCCTTTTATTTCACACCCTTCTTCTGGGAGATAGTGGTTGTTAAATACCAAAGCAATTTTGTAAGTGAAAGGTTTCCATGTTAAATTTGATTTTTCTGTTAGCTGTATTCCTGTTTTTTCACTTAATAATTGCTTGCATTTAATTCAAAATAAATTAAAAGTAATCAAAATAAAGTAAAAGAGGAACTGTGCTCTTTCCACTTACTGCTAATGTCTGTAATAAATATGACTGGGTTGTATAGACAAAGTAATTAGCCTGTCATGATATGGCTTTATAGGAGTTGAAGACACTTCTCTGTATAGTAAGTTAATCATTGATATCAGTAACTTCTACCAAATATAGTTAAAGTATTGATCAGAGAAGCAGGGGATGAGTTTGCCTAGGTTAGGTTGTGAATGGAAAAAGTAACTCTGCTAACAGTAAGAGCATTGCAGATGTCAAGACAGCTGGCCAAAATTAATGTGTATTAATGGAATTTATGCAATTGTCAAATCCCTGCTTTAAGTAATGGAAAAATACCCACTCTTCAACAGTCATAAGGAGTATAAATCTTTCACATTGGTATTTGAATCTGAAGAATAACAGTAGGAAAATGGAATATAGAGTGAATTATCCAGGTCTTGTCAGTTAGAAGTAATTTGAATAGTTATGGACAGGCACTGTAAAAACTAAGATTCAGGAACTGATATAGTATGGCAAGCTGTCCTCTAATTTGTGTTGTTATTAAGGTGAAATATTTAGATCTCAAGAATGAAGAGTTTTCCTGCTTTGATTGCTACAGTACAACTGACAGTTAATCTGGAAAAAAAACCCAAAGTGTTAATCCTCAGGGGAGCTTTCCACCTGGGTCTGCCTGATGTAAATTAAATGCATTAATACAAGTATGAAAAAATTTATGACATAGTGTATATCTGCACATGGAGTACTGTTTAATAAGCAGGAAAGATGAGGGAAAGAATATTGGCTTTAGAAAAAGCCAATTTAGCTAGAAAGAAAGAATGTTCTTCAATGAACAATATTTATGTCTTGTCAAAAGACTGGGTGGAGAAGCACTATGTAGAATAGGTATTAAACTTTTGAAGAAAGTTATTAAAAGTTATTGGCTATTAGTGGACCATCTTATAGCCCTTAGCTAGGTATAGTTTTCATTGGTAAAAATGGTGGCCTGTATCTCCCTGAGAAGATAATGCTATTAGTGTTGCTGATGTGTGCACATGCCAAAGTCAAACTCAAGCCAGAGAATTTAGGTTTGATCTCTGTTAATTTCCCCATGGTAGAACTAGTCTGAACTATGTTTTTACCTTGGGGAAACTGATGTATGCTATGAGCAGAGAAGAGTATCTCAGTAGAATCCAACAGCATAACCTAAGCTTCTACTGGAAGACAGTAGTTTGACTACTGTTGTGTTTTTCCAAAATATTTGTGTAATCTTAGAAATCCTATAGTATAAATTTTCAATTTTTAAACAGTTGATTTCACTCAATGAATCACTATAATTATATGTGGGGAAAAAAATAAAAGCTTTCCTCACATAAACTACACCAATACTAATAGGGTTTGACAGAATAATTGTATTAGACAATGTGCAGCTGGACTGTCCTCCAGTAAGCACAACTTAATGCAGTACTGAGCCTATTACAAACAGTTCTGGCAGCCCTGCTCCAAAGGGCAGTCAAGGATCAGGGAATTTGTTTTCTTAACATCCCAGGAAACACCCCCCCCTCCCCTTCAAAGTGTTTTACCACGTACATGATGCAAAAACAATGCCCTTGGGACCTCTGGATATGTTTTAGTAGGCACACAGTTTTGAAATGGACCATGTGGGTCATCAAGTTCAGCTTCATACAGTCATCATGAGGTAGAAATTGAGTTTAGAACTAGTCAGACAAGAAAGCTTTTTTCAGAAATCATAGGTTGCTAGACCATTACAATTACCTTAGAGCAATAAAAAAAAGTTTCCTCAGCTATTCTTCTTTTTTTTCCTCCTGGAGGATGTACTCATAGAATCATAGAATATCCTGAGTTGGAAGGGACCCACAAGGATTATGGAAGTTCAGCTCCTGGCTATCCACAGGACAAACCCAAGAATCACACCGTGTGCCTGACTGGTTGTCCAAATGTGTCTTGTACTCCGGCAGGCTTGGTGCTGTGAGCAGTCCCTGAGGAGCCTGTTTCAACTACCCTCTGGGTGGAGAACCCTTTCCCAATATCTAAACAACTCCCCACACACACCCTGACATAGCTTCATGCCATTCCCTCATGTCCTTTCACAGAGAAGAGGTGGGTACCTGCCCCTCTCCTTCCCCACTCATAGGTGGTTTTCTGCTTTATTTTGAAACTTTGCATCCAAACCCCCTTTTCTCCAGCAGTTGAACTTGATTTTTTTTTTTAAATACACACGCTAATAAAACAATTATTTTAAACACAATTGAAGTGCTATGCTTAAATTATAGAGTGTGATCTAAAAAATTATATTCCCCATATGTATACAGCATATTATTCAGGTGCAATGGTACTGCAACAATTGGTGACCTGAATTATTTCACAGTCTTGAGCTTCTGCATGCACTGTGTGCTGTCAGATGCCAAGAAGCATAAATATAATTCTATTGTGTGAATAAACAACTAGAAGTTTCCAATCTTATCGCTATGTAACAACTTTTATGTTATTTTGGGAAAGGAAATAAAGCTAGGTTTACTCAGGCTTATGACAGAAAAATAGATAAGCAACCATGTTTAAGAAACATATACATGAGAAATAATATATAGGGCATTGTTGACTGATGAAGGGATAAAGTGCCTCCTCAGAAAGTTTGCTGATGACACAAAGCTGGGAGGACTACCCAGAGTGCTGTGCAGCCCTTCAGAAGGGCCTCAACAAGTTGGAGAGGTGGGCAGAGAAGAATCATCTGAAATTCAACAAAGACAAATGCAGAGTCTTGCATTCCATGTACCAGCACAGGCTGGGGGCTGACCTGCTGGAAAGCAGCTCTGTGGGAAAGGACCTGGGGGTTGTAGTGGACAACAAGCTGTCCATGAGCCAGCAGTGTGTCCTCATGGGCAAGAAGGCCAATGGTACCCTGGGATACATTAGAGGGAGCATTGCCAGCAGGTCAAGGGAGGTGATCCTGCACCTCTGCACATCCCTAGTGAGGCCCCATCTGAAATACTGTGTCCAGTTCTGGGCTCCTCAGTAGAAGAGAGACACACAGCTCCTGGAGCGGGTCCTGTGGCAACAGAGACGATTAAGGGACTGGAGCATCTCTCTTATGAGGAAAGGCTGATGGGGTTGGGACTATTCAGACTCAAGAAGACTGGGAGGGGAAGGTATAAAGAGGCTTTTCTTGGTGGTGCCAAGCAGTATTACAAGATGCAATGAGCATAAACTGTAATACAGAAGTTGTACCTGAACATGAGGAAGAACTTTTTTATTGTGAGGGTGACTGCACACTGGAACAGGTTGCCCAGAGAGGTTGTGGAACCTCCTTCCCTGGAGAGGGAAAGCCTTCTGGATGCAATCCTGTGCAAAGTGCTCCAGGGGACTGTGCATGAGCAGGGAGGTTGGTCCAAGTGAGCTCTAGTAGTCTCTTCCAACATTAACCATTCTGTCATTGTTAAGGGCTATATTAATGAAACAGCCCTATTCTTTGTACATCCTTATGTTCAAACTGCTTCCTTTTGTGTGACCTGAAATTTTCTTAAGGAATTTTTTTTTCTTATTAAGTATGAAGCTTTAATTCAGGATACAGCTATCCTGTTCTAAAAAGTTGTAGCCTGATTGGCTGATCCTCCACTCCTAGGAAACATGCTTTGTTCTTCAACCCTTTTTCAAGATTAAAAATTGCTGAAGAACATCAGGCGTCAATACTATTGTAAGCAGTTAAGAAGTATCCTGAATTCAAACATGCTTCTAAATTTTGTATCTATCCCTTTTTCTAAAATACATTCTGCTGATAAAACTTTATAACTTATACACAGTTCAGTTACTTAAAATGATATTACAAGGTTTAATGTCTGAGATGTAGGCTGTGTCTGTGTAAAGCGGTATAACAAGTGTGGATAACATGGTGTGACCTTTATAATATTTATCGTGGTCTGTAAGATTTTTTTTTCCTGTTAAGTCCTTAAAAACTAATTTAAACAAAATCTAAAAAAAATTGGAAATGTCAAATGTATTCACTCAAGGTAAAACTGGTGGCAAATATTAGGTGGTTGTATAGGTATTCTGGGCTTTCAGTGTGTTTTTGTGGTAGAATATTGTTGGTTACTGAATTGAATAGAGACATTCATACAAAAAATGCTGAATTGGACTCCATTTCTTTTTGCTTCCAGCAATTACTTGTCGCAGACAAGATGGTGGACAAGCTGACATCAGTGAGTGCCTTAAATACGCTGGCCCATTACCATCCTTAACACAGATGTGCCAGATTCCCTGCCAAGATGATTGTCAGTTTACGAACTGGTCAAAATTTTCTCCCTGTAATGGGGACTGTGGAGGAGTCAGGACAAGAAAACGCACTCTTGTTGGTAAGACTAACCAGAAAAATAATGCATCTTTTATTAATTATTAATACTGTTTTGTTTAAAACCTGAGGATTTCTGAGGTTGCCTTATGACAAGCATTTGTCATAGTGGCAGAAAGCAGATGCAGTGTCATGCTTTATATATTGTTAGTGGAACAACATCCAGGAGAAAAAACTCCTACCATATGTGAGACAGTCTTGATTATGGGGAAGTGGCTAGAGGGAAGATGGGGAACACAAGATGCCAAGGTTTTTTCCAAATGTAGTTATACATTTAGCAATTTTTTAAAATTTTTGACAGACAAGTTAACAATCATCTCAGCTTAACAGGACTGGGTGTTAACCTACTTGCCTTCCTCTTCCCACATCTGGTCTTTGCTAAAACAGGGCTTCCTTCTTGGATGGTGTTTTGGTGCATTTAGAATCACTTTGGCAGCTGAATGGTTTTCAGCCTTTTGCTATAGACCACCATTTTCAGCCTTAAACTTTGGTTTGCCTCTTTTGAACTTCTTAGCTGCAGTCTTTAATGTCAGATGCATGATTAAGCCAGTCCTTTCTAGGGCTGAATGTTTGCTCTCCAAGTTCTTTTTGTTCTCTGTTCTTCCATTGCCTAAATCCAGCAAGCACAGATCACCACATGAGGTAACACATTGCCTGATTTTCTGCCTTATTTCTTGACAGTAGTAATAATGCTCTTATTTTGTGTCCCATGAAACCTCTTGAGGTTTTAGTTAACAAAATAAAAAGGTTTTCCAGTGATGTCCAAACCCTTGCCACAAACTTTTCTTTTTTCCACACAATAGACACTGTTCCACTTAGAAACATATTTTTTCTTCAACTTCTTTTTAATATGTTAGGTTTTGTGATTTTTGTTTGTTTGTTTGTTTGGTTTTGTTTTTTAAATTATTGTTTCTTCTGTGTGAAATGAAAAAAAGTACTCTGCTTCTAAATTATAATTGAAACCTCAAGAGTGAGACTTGGCCTCTGTCACAGCACTCTCTGCCAATTAGTCTGTATTGTCTGTGGTGGAGGAAAGCTAGCTAAGGGGGGTGCCCATTAGCAGCATCAGAAAGAATGTGATAGGATCCAAACCCTATCCCCCACTCCATCCCCCTGTAAATCAGACCAGTGGACAATGAATAATTCATGAAATTCAAGACTGTGACTGTCTAATAATTCCAGTAAACTTTATGCCTTGTTTGCTTCTACAAGGAAAATAAAACCCCGATTAACAGGTTTGTTTTTTTTTTACAAAGCAAGAAAGTAACACTTTGTGATACTTCCTGTCCTTAGTTGTAACCCCTTCAAACTTGCTAAGATCCTTATACGTGCTGTGGTGTATTCTCTGTTGCAATGAGTTACCCAGGGTAATATATAAAGCTTGGAGTAAATTCCTAATTATTTCCAGTGAAGAGGAGGAGGAGAAGTGCACATTTAATGAGACATTGTGTTGTCAGAAGAATGATAAACTTTTCTTGAGGTACCTTTTGTCTATTCTAAATAACGACAGTAGGAAATAGAAGAACTAAGGATACTGCAAAGTTGTGTCCAGTGCCTTGTTTTGAATAGTAATGAAAATATTACAGAATATTAATTTACAGTACTATCTAAGTAACAAGCCTTTTCAAAACTACTTTTTCAAAGACTACTACATTGATTTATATGAACTGTCTGGTATGGAAAGGAAAATTAAATAAACTTTACCAAAGAGAAGATTTAAAATAGTTTTAATGGGAAGGGGAAGTTGAGTGGATTGTTACGCTCCAGTTAAGGAAGGAAAACAAGAAGAGAGTTGAATAGAAACAAATTCACAGGAGCTTTTTCTATTAGAGGCAAGAATGGTAATTATTAACAAATGTACTATAACAAATGTTTAAATTAAAGAATTTTGACATTTTGAAAGAAGGTACTAATGTAACAAAGATGCATATTACTTCCTTCTGCACTTTCAACTTGAGAAAGTTTTACCCAGACAGAAGTCTTGTTATTGAACTGCACACTGCTGATGAAATAAGAGAAAAAGGGTATGTTTGTTTAATTGCTAACTTTTTCAAATTGTACTCCCCAAACATTTTTATTCAAAGTAAATATTGATCGTGCCTTTTTTAAAGAAAGGCATTCCCTTTGAGCAAATTGTAAGTATCCACTACTTTTAGAAATTCAAGTCAATAACTTAAATGAATAAAGATTAATGTAAGTAATATTAAGCATATGTATATGATTGGAAGCACTTATTACAGAAGTCTAAATGAAATTTTTTTGCTGAAACAACTATTTCTTCTTTCTAGGAAAAAGTAAGAAAAAGGATAAATGCAGAAATTCTCAGTTGTATCCTCTGATCGAGAATCAGTTTTGTCCGTGTGACAAGTACAGTGCTCAGCCTGTGGGAAATTGGTCAGACTGTATTTTACCAGAGGGCAAGGTGGAAGTATTGCTAGGAATGAAGGTACAAGGAGACATTAAGGAATGTGGACAAGGCTACCGATACCAGGCTATGGCATGCTATGACCAAAACAATCGACTTGTGGAAACGTCACGATGCAACAGTCATGGTATTTAGAAAACTATTTTCTTTCCTTTGTTTATTTATGTGCTTTAATTAATTTAACATAATATGTGCACAAGTAGAATTATCAGGTTAATATTTATTGCTTAGACTGCATTTTATCCCAAGAGACCTTCAAACCCAGCATACGTTTTTGCTGACTTAATTTTTATTAATCGCTATCGTGCCATATTTAAAAGTAAAATTGTGCTAAGTTACTAACTAGGTATTTTAGTGAAAAAAAATCTTGTTATTTTTTCTGATAACTGTATCTAGAAATTTGAGAATAAAACCATTTAGAAGGGTCAAATTCTAAAAAAAAAAAAAAAAAGCACATGACTAATTTGGAAAGGCTGAAATTATTTCCATTAATTCTTTAGATAGCTTTAAACTTCTTAAATAGCCTTATCTCTCTCCATTTATTCTTCAGCATCTTAACAGGCAGGCATATATTGATCTGAGTTCAACAGCACCCAGCACTTTTTCTCTGTATAAATCTGTCATGTGTAAACTAGGATGGTTAAGGAGTTTATATTCTTTGCTCTCTCCTGAAGCAATTAAAAAGACTTCCTTCCTACAGGGGATGCATCTGCAGCATTAGGATCAGAACTGGCCCTTTCTGGTTTTCAGTGAGCCAGAATTGTGCTAATTGACATCACTGGAGTTTTTGTGCTCTTTTTTTTTCCCCGCTTGCAGTGAAAAATTGTATCTGAGCAATTGGTATGAAAAACTGGATATAAGTTTCAGTGTCATTAAAAGGTCAATGTAAGTTTAATTCTTATATGTATTATACTTTCTAATGTCAAATTAAGATAACAGAAATTTCATTTATTTACCTGAATATATTTAAACTAGCTAATCGAATTTAATTAAATAAGGAGATTTTAATTTGTACTATTAATTCCTGTTTAGAGCTATGATAAATTAGAAACTCAATGTATCAAGCCAAGCTGTTAGCATATCTTTGTAATACAAAGGAAAAGTGGTATTTCAGCTTAAATCCTCAAAGCAAAGCTGAAAGATAATTTTGTGGAGAATTTTCTCCCATGTTTATTTTCATTTAAAATCATCTTTTCCTGTAGTTAGCTCATACTGGAAGATATGTTTGTTTAAATACCTTTGAATGACAGTCTAAATCCTAAACTCCCATGGGACAGAAAATCTCTCTTTTTACTCTGGGCTTATTCTTTAATTCTGTTCTCAGCTATCTGCTCTGGGTTGAGGCCTGCAAAGATTTAGTTTTGTTCTCTGTAGTCTAAAGGCATCCTTCACAAAACACAATAGAACATTGCTTTATTGTGTTTTTTCTTTATGCAGTTCCATCCCATTTTTCTCACAGGAAATTTGAAGTCTCTTTTAACTCTCCTTGTAAACTGGAAGTGTTTGCCAGTCATTACTATATTTATTGTAAATTGGAAGCCTGAACGCTTTGGGTTTAGGTGTTGTTCTCTTTTGAATTCTTCCTCTCTAGATTAGTTCATTACGGTGTCTGGTTCTTTGATATTCCACCATGCCACCCCCATCTCACCCTCACTCCCCTCCTCGTGTGTGTTTTCTCATCAGTTCCATTTGAGGGAGAGAGTACAGATAACTTGGTCCATGGTGTAATGTGTGAGCAGATAAAGCTTGGAATTGCTATGAACTAATCCTGTATTCCTTGCACTTTTCTAAAATTGCTCAACAGGAATTTCTTGTATACAGGAAATTAAGTATCTAACATTGATGATAAGGAATTAAACTCATGCAAAGGAATATGTCACTGAAATTATGATTTCCTTTCCAGTAGCTTCTCTAGTTGTTGTACAGAGGTAATAGTATAGGCTTCCCTTATTTATTGTCTGCCTTCAGCATTTTTCCAGGTTTAGCTTACTTTTGCAGATACAAGGCGGCTAGAACAAATGATATTCAATCTAATTTCACTATGTCTCTGCCTTTTCTGAATGTCTGCTTTGTATCCATGTATTATGTTCTGATGATTTGTTTTATTTTTTTCAATGTGTATAAACTACTGTTTTGCCATGCAAATCTTATTTCATATCTTCCCAGTATTTATGATGCTTTTCATGTTATTTTCATGCCCTTTTTCTATGGCAGTTCTTTAGTTTGGCATCATCTCTAGGTTTCAGTGTGCTGTTTGTTGTTTGAATTGGCTATATTATACCAAATCAACAAGGGACATCTGTGGTATCACAATAGTGATACCTGCTAACAATAGTGACACCTGCCAACAAATAAAAGTGTCTTGTAGTTTCCCATCAATCTGTGTTTGTTTTTTCAAGCTGAAGTTGACAGGACTCAGAACTCAAGCCTGCTTGTGTTATTTTTGTAAATTTTAACACAGTTGCATATTTTCCTGCAGAAATGATAACATTGGGTTTTTCACCAATTTCAAAACTGATCCAAAGTTTCATCAGTTTTTTCAACTACGTTATCTGTTTTACTCAGAAATTTGTTTTACTCTTTGTTCCTGTGGATCTATTATTTCTTTTCCAACTAGTATAGTATGCAATTGCATTTTTTAAATAGGATATTATTTGCTCAATTAGCTTGCAGTAGTAGAGAAATCAAGACCTTTAAGAAGATCTCTCCTGTGTGGTATCCAACTTTTACTTGAACTTTTGTTATCTCCTGACACTATGAAATCCTGAGGTGCGAAGTGGAGATAATTGAACTTCTTCAGCTGTGACAACAGCCTCTAAATTTGACAAGAGGGACAAACTGCACCCACACTGATGTTATTAATATATCATGGGACATACTATGATATATTAAAATGCCACAAGAAACTCAAATTGAGAGACTGTCAAAAGTTTTATGTAAATATTGCCATGCAAATTTATGAGGCAATGAACAGGTCAGTGCTGCAAGTCATGATGTTTTGAGTGGAAGGAATGAGAAGACAGATCCTCTCTGCAATGCCAAAAAATTCATAAGCTGTTTTGAAAAATGTGGTGTGCTTATAATCACAATTAAATTAACTTACTCAGAAAAGAAAAGGTAAACAGGAGCAGAAGAATAAATACTTCATGGCTCTTTTTACTGCTTGACACATCTTATTTTCAAAAGATTTGAGAAGAGTTAGCAACACAATAACAGTTTCACAGACACCAAGGAGCTAAAGAACAGGTTTGACACAAGGATAGTGCTAAATTAGCAGACCCATCGGGAGATTCTTGTGATAATTTTTGAAATTTTGGGTGCATTTATAAGGTCCCAAGTACAAACAAGTTTCTCAAAGTGTCAGGAGTGACCATAACACAAAAGGAAAGGCAAAATATAATAAAATAAATCTGTTGTTACCACTGGGTGAGAACACTGGGGAGCAAAGGCCAGAGCCCTTCTGAAGAGGGTCCTTAGCTTTCTGTAGCTTAACAGGTACTTCAAAAGAAATCCCAAACAAACAGCTGAAAACAGACCAAAGTTTCATCTGCGAAGAGACAAGGCAGTTTGGTTTTTATCTCAGTTTCTTTTCTATCTTTGGGTGTTTATTTTCATTGTTACATATGCCAAATATTTTGATTTTTCATTTAAAAATATTTAGTTTCAAATTTGAGCTAAATTTACTGGTGAAAGAGTTTAAACCACTCAGCAGCCATTTGAAATATTCTGCCAAATTTTCAGCCATTCCAGTTCTTCAGAGTGTAGGGAGGAGCTAACAGCTTCCAGTTGCCAACAGATGTGGTAACTGAGCTGTGGTTTACCTGTTTTCCTTAATGGAAGACACATAAATTGCTTTTTCTCTTGTTCCTTCTTTTCTTCAATACTACATAGGTAATTTTACTGGAGAAACATAAAAACATATAATTCTCTTGATAGTCATGTGTGAGAGGGTTTTTTCCATTAGAAAAGCAGCAGTTGTTTTTCATAGCTTTATCCCTGTCATCACTAGAATATTAGAGCTCTGCAGATAGTGACATGTGTTTGCCAAAAATCTATTTCAATGTATTTGTGAAGAAAAATTGAGATTCTCTTCATTGTCCCTTTAAACTACACCTTGAATTTTCATGACAAAAAAATCAAAAGCAAGACACTGTCATGGGGCACTACACTATCTCTTTCAATATCTAGTTTTTCTCCATCATATATCAGTTAAGGATCATGACCCACAAAAGCTGAGCGGTGGCTCTGTTTGTGTGTGCCTAGTGAAGGCAAACGTTGTGGTTGCACAGCAGACAGATGCAGAATTTTTATATAGGTCATATTACCCTTCTTAATTCATGTCCATTTACTGTTAAGACCTTAGGCACAGTCAAGCAGTCAGGATAGTTTGTCTGCTGCCTTATTAGTGTGAGATTATTTGCCCCTTTAGCATTAATTAAATGAGATGCATTGATTTGTGCTGACTCTACAAAGCCTTCTGTGGCTACAAGGCTTATGTGGGGGATTAGAGAGGAATATCTGCGTATCAGTGAATACTTTTACAACAGCTGTTAGGAGTATCAGTGTGAATCGAGGAATTTTGTATTTAGTTGCTTATATGTGCAACAGTAAAATCTCGTATGATCTAATGGAGTCTGTAGAGTCCAAGATGTCTGTTAGAATTGCTTTATCCACTTTTATTAGGATTTTTTAAATCCTAATGTTTTTTGACTTTCAGTGTTCTAACCTGAAGCAATGCAAATTTATCCAGAAAAAACATCAGAATGTTAAAATTTAATTGAGGGTTTCTATTGAATGTTTATTCAAAAGTAAATTTATTTCCCATAGGAACTTCTAGTCTAGTATGTTAGTAAGCTTAGGTTCTGAAATTGTTATTAGGATACTTTGATGTTTCATAGCTTATATATTTTCTAAGATTTTCTTTTAAAATATATATTTATGTCATGTATTCCCTGGGAATGTGCTACCTTTTGCCTTGTACCACAAATCTTACCTTAGGCTTCTGCACTGTGGTGCCACAACATCTGCCTTGTCAACAGGTCATCTGTTTTGCAGCAGTCATCCATCAACCCAAAGCCCTGTAGTTAGTTCACCAGATACAGAACTACTGGTGCAAAAGATTGTTAA